TTGTATTACAAGTAAGGACACAACATATTATAATAATGCAATATTTTTCTTTCCCATTTATTCCCTCCTTGACAATATTATAAAGGTACAATTAATTTATCTCTCATGCCAAGCGAGCTTCTCCTCTATCATTACGTTCAATTACTTCCCCATCATTAATTATGTCATCACTGTCATTCCTGATATAGAATTGAATGGTAATGTATTGTAGAGTTTTTTTATTAATTTTATTTATTTTAAGTGGTTCATGTTAAATATTTGATTATATATATTTTAACGTTTAAGGCGTTATTTTATATTGTAATTTGGACATGTTATTTTGTTTAATTGTGTTTAAAAAAGTTTATTTTTATCATCTGAGGCGATGTTTTGCCATAAATATAAATTTACTTATATGACATAAAAAAATCGAATATCTATAATAAAACTTAAAAAAAATCAATACTATATCTTTATCATATAATATTTACAATATATACTACTAAACGGACTTCTTCAATGTGTATTAGAAAAAATATTTCTGAAAATTATTTTTAAAAAAAGATTATATAATCAAATTTTAATTGATTATGATAAATTGCTTTTTAGAAATGCAGTTTAGTAATGCAGGTATTTAGTCATACTTCTATAACTCCAAAAATAAATTGAAATTTCTAAATTTTCTTCTATAAGTTAGTTTACAAGAAAGGAGTCAAAAAATAATATATTTTTTAAAATTCAAAAATCTAAAAAAAAAGACTAAACTAAGAATTGACATCATAACTTCCTAAAATAATGATGGAAACTACAAAATATTTTTATTTTATATTAATCCAGAGTAGAGAATTGTGCTCCTATAATTCATATTATTTTTTAATTTAAAAACTATATATTTAATCTATCACGCCATCTAACGGAAATTTATTTATGATTTTTAGAAATTTTATTAGGGGTGTTATATTTTTTATATATTGTATACCTGTTCTATACATATTAAAAATTTATGGATTCATTTTTTTTCCATATTTTATTTTATTTATTTAGATAATTTTAATTTTGTATAAATTTGATTTATATAATAAAAACAGTTATTTAAAATTTTTAATATATAATTGATAGGTTATAAAATAAAAATAAATTTTAATAATAAATAATTTACATTTTGATTTTGAATACGGATGTCATGTTTTTACAAATTAGATAAATAAAATTTTTTTTTTGAAAATCAAATTTAATATCGAATATAAAATTTCCAGGAATTTCAGCCATAAAAAAAAATACTGCATGAATATTTAACTCATCCTCTTATTTACATTGTAATTAAGATCTTTGTTATTAATCAACTCTCTCCTTAACACTATTTATCAATGAGGGGTAATCTAGTGTTGTTAAACGGCTCGATTTGAGCCGATTTTTAAAACTGCTTAGGCTTACTTAACATTATAGCCAGGAAAATATTGCCTAAGCGTATAGATTTCGCCAATAGATGTTCAATTCGCCATCTATGAGCAAAATCTTTAGGCTTGCATAATATTTTTCTTGTTAAAATATTGTTTTAAAAATTGGCTTAAATTGAGCCGTTTAACAACACTAGAGTAACCTGATAAGGGGGGTTAATGTATCACGCTACAGCTTAATCATTAAATGAATCAATTATTACATCGAAGCAATTCCTAAAATATTATCATATAGATTGATTTTTTTCTTCTTTTTTCTTACACCAATTTTCTTGGGTGTATCTGTTTAGGATTTCTGAATAAATTTCCTTTATGTTTTCAGGCAATTTCGGTTTCACAATGCCAACATTTGAACGATATTTTTTTATTATTATCAAAAATAAAATTATCCATTAAAAATTTAAATTAATAATAAGAAAAAAAAATTAATTTTATAGAAAAAAAAACAGTCAAATAAAAATTTTTAAATTTGATGAAAATGTTTCTAATATTTTTAATTTTTTAATTTACTACTTGTTTGCTAATTATTATTTCTTTGTTAGCACTAGTATTGTATAGTTATAAATGATTAATGATTATTTATTCTTATAGAAAAAATATATAAAAGAAAATAAAAAAATACTTGATATATGCTTCTGTATTTATATATTTTTTTTGGAAACGTTCCAAGAAGGTTCCAGAATACTCCGTTCCCATTCCATAAATTTCTTCTAGTTCCGTTCCATGTCCTGGTTATAATAAATGAATATTATTTTTATAACGTTTAAAAAAATTACTATTATATTTACATGTTACTATACAAAAATAATTTACTATTATTTTTACTAGTGTGGTTAAACGGCTTGTTTTGAGCCGATTTTTTTAAAAAACGACTAACTCAATATTTCAAAAATATTATGGAAGCCTGAAGATTTTGTTCATAGAAGGAACAAAGGTCAAGACATATATTATCGAAATCTCGAGGCTTAGGCAATATTTTTCTGGCTAAAATATCGAGTTAGCAGTTTTTGAAAATCGGTTCCATTAATCTTTACCATTTAAAAAAAATTAATGCTACCTTAAAAATTTACTATTATATTTATTGAGTAAAAAAAAATTAATAATATTACCACTGCGGTTATTTATGGATAGTATGACTAGAAAACTATAATAATATTAAACAATAGGAAAACCATATTTTATTCTATATTTTAAAATTGTCGCATGAAATAAAATAATCTTCGTTTTGTTTTGTAATAAATGATTTTTATATAAATAATATAATAAATACTATTTTTAAAAAAGCGGTTTCAATTTAAAAGTATTAAATACAAATACGAACAATATCAATTTCCTCCAAACATTTTTGAGTTAAATTACCTCATTAAACCTCATTGTTGCCGTTTTTTGATTAACAACGTAATGTAGTATCTGTACTTATTTCATTTACTGGCACAAATATTTCTGCAACTTACGATAAACCTTCATAAATCTCTTAGCTGATCTGCCGGTTTTCTAGTCTATCCGGAGTTTCAGCGATATATGAATATAATCCAGTCCTTTCTGTTGAATTGTAAAGATTGGGTAACATTGCAATCTAAATAAAATGATAATAAAATAATTAATATGAAATTTAACATAATTTATGGTTTCCTTTATTCCTACTACACAATAATAAATTATACAGTAAAAACATTACAAAATTAAAGTTAAAAAAAATAATAAAAAAAAGAATTAAAAGAAAAGAAGACTTAAAAGAAAAAAAGACTTAAAAGAAAAGAAGACTTAAAAGAAAAGAAGACTTAAAAGAAAACTAAAAAAATAAAAAAATTTAAATGTAAAAAATTAAAAAAAAGTAAGTGGTTCTAATTATAAAAATTGTTTTTATATGCAATTTTCATGAACCTTTAATAATTATTCAAATTTTACAAAAATTTTGTTTTTAAATCAAAAATCTTCTGGATATATTAACTAAAAATCTGATTGTACAAAAAAAATATAATATCGTTTTATTATACTATATTAAAAGTATATCTTCTGATTAACATTTACTTCAAAAAAATTTGAATACCCAAATACAACTATTTCTTTATTTATTTCCTTCCTCCAACCTTTGGTTCTCTTGTCTAACGAAACAGATTGTGAAATCTGAATTCTCTCCATTTCCAATGTAAGTCATTTTTTTTACTTTGTCTTATATTTGTCTTTTCAATCTCATGTTCTACGTCTTACTGATTCAAACTAGTAGTCAATTGTCTTTCAAACATAATCCTGGTAGGAGATCTATTCTTAGGTTTTGGTGCATTCTGAATAGCCTTCACCTTTTATGGGTTAGAATGTACCGGATTTATCACTAATTACCTCTAAAAATGATACGGATTTAAAAATTGAACAATTTTGCTTAAAACCAGCCGTCTGTAATCAGTCTAAACGATTCGTAAATTTCTTATGTGCTTCTCATTGTTTCGACCAGATATAATTACGAAATCTAAGTCTGCACAGGCTGTTTGACAATCGTTAACAACTCATTCACATATCTCTGATATATAGTAGGCGCATTTGCTAAACCAAAAAGTATCGTTGATAACAAAAATACCAGTTATGAGTTGTAATCGTTAGAAACTCCCGAGATTCCTATTCTATTTCCATTTGTGTAAAAATAAAATCGAATAGCACTTGTGTGCTAGCTGGACTTACTATAGCCTACACACTCCTTTTTTATATTCAACTGCCTGACTTATAATGGACTTTCGTAACGGTAATTCCTTTTAACTCTTAACGTTTATAATAATATAAAGGTGCACAATATCTAGCTTAAGTTAATTTATTTATTGATAATATAATTTTTTCATAGATAAAACGATTAACTAATTTTTTATTCTCTTTGTAATAGAATGTTAAAAATATTTTTTTATATTGAGATTCAGTTGGACTTACATTTTATAAACGAATTTCCCTAGTATAAAAATAATTATATTGAACTCTCTCCATCAAACTTATCAAATTTAATATTAGATAAGTCCTCCAGTTTTATTTTATTCACTAAATTCCCACTATTTAAGACATCAGGCATCACCACAACATAAGGTTAAACAATCCACGTAACTATTTTTTTTTACCTTTATCTTGCCATTAGAAAAGTATATCACATAGATTAAATTATAAGAATACCATATTTTATTATTTATTAAAATTATCACATAAAAATATGTAATTTTCTGAGGATTGGACATAATATTTGGAGGAAAACATCAATTTAATTTTAATAAAGAATAAAATTTATTTTTAACTGAAAATACAAATGAAATTCAATCTTTTTATAATGAAATTTATAACTAATAAAATGCCATTTTTAATTAGAATTAGTGTAGTTCACAAAAAAGAAAAACAATTTAAAATCTGAATGTTATTACCAAAACAAAAACAAGTAGTTAAAGGAGAATTATAAATTAAAAAAAACAATTACAACTACTTAACAAAATAAAATAAATGATTTCATTTTCAATAAAAGAATGTTTTTTTAAAAAAAATATAATATAATGCTATTTTAAATTCCTTTAGTAGCGTTTAGTAATAAAATTATGATCGATAAGAAGCCATAATATAAACGGTTGATAATAATAAAATGGAGAAAAATGACTTGTCTACCCAAATAGCATCTTCGTCTCCAACGAATGCTAATCCTATTTTAGCGAATTATTCTTCAGAGAGCGCTCATAAAAAAGATATCTCAGATTTGATTCAACAAATCATGAATATAACTGAACAAAGCTTAGATGAAGCACAAACAAGGTAGATAATACTGACTTAAAATATATATTTAAGTAAATTTAGAAAACATGCCTTGAACTGCCATAGACTCAAACCAGCACTCTACAATGTTTTATGTGAAATCAAAGAAAAAACTGGTAGATTTTTTTTTTACAAAAATGCATTATCTTTATATTCATTCTAGTGATTAATTTGAGAAGAAATGAAGCAATTTCAAAGTTTTCTAATCTAGATAACAATGGATCAAATAGTAATATGAGTGGTAATGACATGATGTCAATGATGATGGATGATTCAATAATGCATCCAGATCCTCAGTTAATGAGATTAGATAATATGCTTTTAGCAGAAGGAGTAGCTGGACCTGACAAATCTTTACTAAATCCATTTTCATCATCAAATAATTCAGACAATAACAATCCAACTAATAATGCTATAGAGCATTCTGACTATAAAGCTAAACTAGCTCAGATTAGACAAATTTATCATTCTGAACTTGAAAAATATGATCAAGTATGCTACCTGATAAATTTATAAGTTATTACATATATATTTATAATAATTAGAGGTGCATGCAACTTTTTAATTGATATTGAGGTAAAGTACCAATATTGATTTTTTTAATTCTTGTTTTATTTTCAATTAAGCATGACCTGGCCTAAGGCTTAAATAAAAATTATTTAATTTTTATAATTTGTAATGTAATTTTATTAAATATAAAATAATTTTTATCAACAGAGACTTCTGTGTTAATTTATATGCCTCTTTCATGTTAACGTTTAGTTAACACTGTTTATACTTCTAGAATTGGAAATTTAATTCTGTTTACTCATCATTAATTATGTGTTACTTCAAAATTTTCTATATTAATTTTAAACTTAAGAAAATTTAATGGAAAAGCCAATTCCTTACATCAAAAAATAATAAATTGTATTAGTTTTGTGCTTTTTATTTCATAATTCAAATTTTTATTTTTTAAATATAAAAAATTGTAGTATTGGTAAAATTTACTATATCTAGTTTTGACCAGCCAATTAGTATTAGCCTGATATTAATACATTGTTTCTGTGGATTTCTGATTATAATATATATATACCATATTTACCCTAAAATAAATATATATGCAATAACTTTATTAAGGCTTGTGCAGAATTCACAACTCATGTGATGAATTTGCTGAGAGAGCAAAGTAGGACACGACCCATTACCCAAAAAGAAATTGAAAGAATGGTCTGTATCATACGCAAAAAGTTTAGCTCAATTCAGGTAATTTAGTTTTAATCTATAACACTGAATAAAAATTATGTTGTGATCCACAAATTTTTCACCTGTAATACTTTTTGAAAGTTATAAAAAATTGCTCCAATATTTACGATTCTTTTTTCTTCTTTGAATAAACATAATTAACCCTTCACTACAAAGATGGAAGAAATTCCTGTAATCACAAATGTGGGGTGTATTTTACTCCAAACGTTGATTAGATATGTGTCAGAACATATTAAAATTTGAGATCTAAAATTTTGAATATATAATTAAAAAAATGTTGGAGATAATAAATATAAAGATTAATATTTACTTCCAAAAAAAGTTATGCAAATTTTGCTAAAGTTGCTGTAATAAAATATTTTTGAGGACCTTCCTTCACCAAAAAAATTTTTTTTTAATATATTTTATTAATAATAAATATCACTTAAATTTTTGTAATAACATTCACAACAAAATGTATTTATATGATCTTTACAACCTTTTTATTTGATGGAATATGTTTTTCATCAGTTATATTGAGAACATCCCTAATGTTACATAATAATCTAGATATACGAGGATTCCCATATCTACTGATCATATATGGAGTTATGAGTTTCATTGCTAATTTTATAAATTTTGATCTAGGACTTTTTACACATTGACAATGGAATTATCAGGCTTGTTAACCGATCTTTTCTGACCGATTCAAAATTAACTAATATATGTTATAAATTTATTGTAATTGAATAATAATATAACCGATGCAAAATTAACTAATATAAAAATAAATTAAATATGGTAGAAATTTATTGTAATTGAATAATAAATATAACATTATAATATATTTATTTTTAATTAAAATTAGCTTTTAATTATAAAATTTTTTCCAAATTATCATCATTTAAACATCCGCGTCTTTCATTTAGAACATGTTTAGCTTTACTAAACAAGCGCTCCATGGCAAAGGTGTATTATATTCAATAAATATTTTTTTAAAATTAATATAAGTATTAAAAATATTCATGTCATCATTTGAATAAAAATTTTTTTTAATGGAACAAGCATTTTGTACAGTATTTTTCCCGAAAAAAGCAACAATGTCATCCATTTGAGGTATCCGCATATGGTTGTTCCTGCATATTTTCCAAATGGGCAACTAATAGTTCTTTTACCATCATATTTTGTGGCAGATTAATATAAGGCCAATTAAGTTTAAATTTAAGGTGAATCATGGCTGTCAAAATGTTACTGTCTTCATACAGTGAAGGAAATCTATATTATGAAATGATAATAATTTATTATATAAGTGTTCATTTTATTCATATAAATCAAATCAAGTATCTGCAAAACTTAACCCTTTTAAATTTTACAGTCAAGTCTGGCACATCATCTGTATGGTATTTATTTATATTTGGGTCAATCATAAATATTGATTAAATGTAAACTTAATACTTAATATACAAAGAAATTAACATTGTAATTTATTTACAAAGAATAATAATCAAAATATTAGCTTAAAATTTAAATAATCTAATAAATTTTTAATGTCTTCAAAGGCCCATTAATATTTTACTAGATATCAGAAGTTTAGTAGAACTGGCCTGTTAAAAATATTTTACTAAATTTGCCAGATCTTTGCAATTTTTGCGTAATTTCAAAAATGGTAAAAGATTCTCATTCTCACTTATATCTGCTGTTACATCAATAGTAGAAGCAATAGAATCTTCTAAATCTATAATGGACATTTACATTTACCTATTAAAATAAATATTAATATATTATAATAAATTTATATTAAATAACTTGTAAGAGCTCTAAATCTCGTAAAATTTAGGAAATGAATAAATGTATCTATAAAATAAATGGTGGAATGGAAGTTGATAAAATATGAAGATAGATATTTTTTTTAAAAATTAATTTTTAAAAAGATCGGGATCGAATTTGAAACAAAATGATCTCGATCCTCAATTTAAGTCAGAATCATAAATCTCGTAAAATTGACAAATTTGCGATCGAATCCAGGATCGTCGATCTTTTGATTCGATCTTTTAACAACTCTGGGAATTATATACTGACAATCAGCCAGGAGGACCTTACAAATTGTCAAATAAGTTATATGATGTAGTTGAAAGACTTATTAAACCAATTTTAAGGACTAATAGAAATATTACAACTGACAAGTGGTTTACAAGCTATGAATTAGCCAATAATATGTTAAATTATCATTCCTTAACCCTAGTATGAACTTTAAAAAAAATAAAAAGCAGGTACCTGCTTTCTTTTGATAAAAAAAGTGATATAAACTAAGTTTATTTGCATTAAGTGAAAATACAACTGTAGTTTCATACATACCAAAATTAGAATGTAGAGTTTCTTTCTGCGCTACATTATGATAACAAAATTGATGCATCAACTAGTGAGTTGATAAAAACTAGAAATTATAACATTTTATAATTAAACCAAAAATGAAGTTGATGTAGTTGATCAATTTTTTTCCATACATTCTATATCCAGAAGATTGAGTAGATTGGTCATTGACCATTTTCTATGGTAAATGTATCAATAATAAATGCTCTAATAGTTTATAAAGCTAATAATTTATTGAATATAAAAAGATCCAAATTATGAAATTATTAGCAATGGAACTCATAACTCCATATGCGATCAGCAGATATAAGAACCCTTATATATGTAGATTTATTGTGCAACAATATTGGGGATGTTCTCAATATAACTGATGAAAAACATATTCTATCAAATAAAAAGGGAAGATATTATGATTGTCCAAGGATGAAGGAAAAAACAACATTTATTTGTTTAAATTGTTTAAAATTCATTTGTAAAGATCATATGGATACATTTTGTCATGAATGTTATTACATAAATTTAGATAATATTTGATGATTAATATTTTCTTTGATATTTGATATTTTTTTTATAAAATTTGCATTTTTAAAATTGTTTTGGTGATAATACTATAATTAAAGAAGGTCCCAAAAAAATTATTTTAGTAACTTTAAATTTGCTTATATTAATCTAAGATTTAGTATTTATTATCTCCAATATTTTTTTAATATGTTCTGAGATATAGCTAATCAAAATTTAGAGTAAAATAGACCAACACCTGTGTTGGAAAAAAATATCACATGTTGTATTATGATAATTATAATCCAATCAACCTTATTTATTTTGGTTGATTGGCATTATACACAAATTAATATAAATTTATCTATAAAACTATGACAGAAGAGTTTTTCCCACCTTGTAATGAAGGGTTAAATTTACCATAAGCCCTTTTTATAATTTTGTTCCACAAGAAAAAAATAGTATAAATTTTTAAAATTTTGCGTCACAATTCAATGAAAAATTTTGTATGTACAAAGATGGAACCTATACTAACCTAAGCTTTAACAATTGTAAATATTTTAAAAAATATCAAATCAATTATCTTGAAATTTGGTAAATATATTCCTTATAATCAAAATATAGTATGAAAACCAGGTTAACATATCTTTAAGCTTTTTTTCCATTACCAAGATTATAAAAGCTATGAGGTATTATTTGCTTCACCTTTGTAGTGAAGGCTTAATTAGGGATGTATCTCTCGAAGTGTCAATCATAGATATATAGACATTTGTCAAATATTTTCATGCTTTAAGAAAATTATGCATTATTTTATTTTGATAACCTGTTTACTTAACATAAAAAAATTTAATTTGAAAACGTTCCAAAATTTGTGAAAAACATGAAAAGGGACCCCTTTTTTAATAGGAAAAAAATAAAGCCAAAACATGTAAAATATACAAAACTTTATCATTTGGTTTCCATAGGACACAATTTAAAGAGAAAATATTATAGTCGAGAATTTATTTATGGTATTAATTCAATCACGCATATCATATTTTTATGACTAAATTATCATCATAATCAATTTTTTTTTGTATTAAAACAAAAGTAATTATAATTTCATAATCTGCATTGTATTCCTGAAAAATTGATCTTGGATTTTGATGATTATATTTCTTGGAAATTTTGAAAAAAATAAAATTGAATTATGAAATATTTTTCGACCCTATATAGAATTATGAATTTTAAAATGATTTTGAACTCCCAATATCTCAAAACTTCAGGCAAATATTATAATTCATATCATTTATATATGGGTGTATTATAGGCTCTTTAAAAAAACAAATAACATCAAATAGTTTGACTTCGATACATATTTAAGAATTCATCAAAATCGTTATGATAGTATAATAAACTGGAAACTTTGATGAACCATCAGGAAGATTACCACCTGTGTTGCATAGTCTAGTTGGAAGGAATATCAGCAGATTTCAAGAGACGGGCTATTGTGTCATTGCATTCATTTTTTTATATTTCACAAATCTCCCAACTCTTTAAGAACCCGAACCCAAACACCTTTCAAGATTTTTAGGAATTTGTGACTTTTTGATAAATATCTAGAGCTGCAATTATAACCTTTATTAGTCCAGGTTCCAAATTCTGGTTATAAACCTTCATGAATTGTCACTGGATTAGAATATTATACATTTTATAAACCAGATTTTTTTTCTTAACAATTTTTTATAACACTTATATTCTAAAAAAGGTACAATTGAAGCAAAGTACATGTGAGGCTGTCATGATATTGAGATCTCGATTTTTGGATGCCAGGTCTTTTATTATATATATTTTTTATTGATATTTTATGTATATAGACTAATTATAAGGAAAACTAGGTATCAAATTGAACCTTTAAACCCTGTACTGTAATTAAGTAAGGGGTCACTAGCTTCTTACAAAAGGGGTTACTAAAGGATGTTTTTTAAAAAATGTCTATAACTTTTTTTAACCCTTTTTATATTTAATATATAGGGGGCTTAGCCCTCCATTCTCCCTCGATTCGCTCTTTCCCAGCTTTCGGCTGGGTTTATATAGATACTTGTATTCGTTAATCAAAATATATCTAATCCAAATGCTTTCCCCTCATAACCAATAAAAATCTTTTAATAACCTCAATCTAAAAGCTTTTATCTTTAGATTTTATAAATATAAATATTCTACAAAAAAAAACCCATGCATTAAAAAAAAGGAGGAAAAGGCGTAATTTCAGTAAGCAAGCTACCGAAGTGCTTAATGATTATTTTTACTCTCACCTCAGCAATCCTTACCCATCGGAAGAAGCTAAGGAAGAGTTGGCTAAAAAATGCGGGATCACCATTTCACAAGTCTCTTTTTCAAACATTACTTTGATTTTTTTAAGTCATTTCAATTTTAGGCCATTAGATTGGTTTATTGGGATAATAGTAAACGGATCTTTTAAAAAATAATTATTCGGAAAAGGTCATAAAAATTAGGTTAATGTTATAATTAATCTTTTAATCAAGATATCCAATTGGTTTGGTAATAAAAGGATCCGATATAAGAAAAATATAACCAAAGCACAAGAGGAGGCCAACATGTACGCTGCCAAAGCTGCAGCTGCCCAAGAACACAATGCTAATCAGGTATTTTTTTTCTTGACGTTAGAAAAATATCATAATTGGTAGATTATTTAATGATAGGTAATAAAAAAATAATATGGTATTTATCAATTAATGTATATTTAGCTAATTTAATAATTCATTTCGGTTTTGCCTATTAATTAATACATGTGCATTGTTTATTTTAGCGTTTAATTATCCAATTTAAATATTTGAAGGTAAAAAAGTAACATTTAATTTCGATTTTTCCATTGTTGATAAGACTTTTCCTTTTTATGATTGACACCTTTTCTTTTTTATGATTGACACCTTTTCTTTTATGATTGAAACCCTGTACCGTGAGTAATATGCAATTGCGCGATTTTGAGTGTATACAGAAATCGAAATTATTACGTCTATGATCCTATTTTGTTTAACATAAAAACAGAGGATCGGTGGCGTCGGTGCAAGGAATAGTTACGGAGGCCTCGACGACTCCATGTCCCCTACCAGTAACAATATGAACTCTCTCGGGTCCGGTAATGAGTTAAGTGGCCCTCCCCTCGATATGGATAAAAAATTGATGAATGTTGGACAGGAAGAAACTGCCATTCATAATCTTAATCATCAAGTATTATATCTCGCAAAATTTTATAATAGATTTGTTTGTATGTCCTCTCGAGCTTATTTTCATTTGCTTTGAGCAAGAAGGGCTTTAAATCATTGTGAATTTGAATTTATTAAACTTAAAAATGATTGGTATCGAATTTTGATCCCTTATAATATATAATGTTTATATTCAAATAAGATAAAAATATATTATTATCTAACCAAAATGTGACCGACTTACTTAGACCTGCGAATGAATTTAAATAACGATTAATTTAATTTTATAGACTATAAATCATTAAAAAAAATATATTCTTCGAATAATAACCCTCTCGTTATTCCATCAAATATTTCGTATTATTCAAAAATACTCGCTATTCTAATGAATTCTGAAATATTTTTGAATTCCTAAAAATTCTAATCAACATATAATAGTAGTGCTGTAAACATTTTTAAAAAAAATCGAACGCGTTCAACGTTCATTGACAAAAATCGAACGCGTTCACATTCAAATTCAAAAAAAGGAACGCGTTCAAGTTCATGAACGCGTTCATACGTTCAAGTTCATGAACGCGTTCATACGTTCAATACGTTCAAGTTCATGAACGCGTTCATACGTTCAAAATTTTATGATAAATTTTTTTTAAAATTTAATTTAATATAAATAAATGCCTTATATTTTTCAACACAATATATTAGTCATGATAAAAAATAATAGTTTTATTTTGATAAAATAATTATAAATACAATATAATAGAGCGATAAAAAAATAAATTTATAAAAAATTTTTCTTATTAATTTTTAATAATAATTGCTTTTCAAAATTTTCATCTGATAGGCATGAACGCTTGTCAGTTAATACAGCGTTAGCTATACTAAAAACTCGCTCAACAGGGGCAGATGAAGGGATTGCGGTGTTATACTTGGTAAACAATTCTTTTAAAAGGGGGAATTTTTTAAAAACATTTAATGTTTTATCCATTGTTTCAAAAAATTGAGCTATGTTATCATCCTCCAATCTGCCCTCTTCTTCCTCGTCAAAAAAAAAAGGATATCTCGGAATTGATTTTAAAACATTGAAATATTTTTGATATTTGGGCCATGGTAATTCTAATTCATCTAATATTGAATTTTGATTTTCAGAATCTGATGATGAAATATTTATATCCATGCAAATGCTAATCTATTAAATTAAAATATAAAATATTCAAATTAATAAACTTTAATCTTATCTTCTCTAGCAGTAGCACTATGGTACGTTAATTGCAATATGAAAAAGGAAAAAGTAAAAACAGCTGATTAAAAAATATAAGACTTTTTTGTTAAAAAATTGGATTAAATATTAATTTTTTAAATAAATAAAAATATAAGACTTTTTTGTTAAAAAATGCGGATTAATATTAATTTTTCAAATAAATAAAAATAAAAAGTGTTTTTAAAATTGAACGAACGTAAAATTGAACGCGTTCATCAAAGAAAAGGAACGCGTTCACGTTCAAAGTTCGTCAAAAAAAAAGGAACGCCGTTCATCATCTTTTTTCAAAAAAACGAACTTCGTGCGTTCACAACACTATATAATAGTATTGTACTCAAAGTTGAATTATAGAGGATCAATTTAAAACGATATAAGCATATTTATCATCTCAATATGATTTGATAGTCTTAAATAGACCTACCTGACTGCTGGTTTTAGGGGTTTTTTGATAAAAATAATACTTTCTTTTTACCTCGGTAACGGTTTATTTCTTTAAAAATCTTAATAAATATGTAACTCCCACACACTATTTTTTTTTTCGAACAATTTCCATAACAATTTTACATTAGATTATCATGTGTTAAACGAATGTAAATTGAACAAAGTAATAACATTTTTTTATAAATATTGTAGTTGAATTTAATACGCACAGCATAATTTTTTAAAATTATTTTAAGGGATTCGGTTATAATGCCTTTTTTTAAATTATTGACATATAATATATTGTAAACAACTAAATAAGAGCATCAGATCTACTTATTCGTAAAATTTAAATTATCCATTTTTTTTCTTCAAAATATATCTTTTTTTTGATCGAATAAAATTTTTGTGCACGAATATGAATATTACATTATACCTCATCTCAGTGTAGGATCTAGACAGATATTTTTTTTTAAATTTGTTGGAATGAAAAGTGAAGCTGCCACTTCCCATCTCCTTCTTTATTATACAATTTGAAAAAATAAATAAATATTATTTCAATAGATGCAACAACAGCCCAAGAGACAGAAATTATGAATTGGAAAATAAATTTTAATTTATGATATTATTCGACACCAACTCCATATGTGTTTTCTATTTTTTCCACCACCTTTATATAAAATTTACCATATTTATTACGTTATATTAGTATACTATATTTATAATAATAAATATTTTTCTGTGTCTTATATAATTAACTTTAAATAATCATAAATAAATATGCTCAGAAGTTTATAAACCTGACCTGAAAGCAATGGTTTTAAATAAACTACAGTAATCATATTCTTGTTAAGTATAAGATGCATAAATTTCTTTGGCGATAAAATTTAATATGGCATAACTTAAATATAAAAACTAATGATATACTGTAATATCCGATTTAAGCCCATTAATGTGCCTCCTAGGACAATTAAATCTTAAAACGAGGCCTTAAAATGTTAATATTTAAACAATTGCGATTGACATTTTAAAGGAAAAATAGCTATTCATAGTTTTTTTTACATTAAAAATTGTAAATCTCCCAAACCAAAATTTTATAATTTCCATTAATCTTCCACTCTTTTATGAGGCATTTCTTATGTGTGTCTTTATTTATGGCAGATTAAAATGCTTGTATTTCATTGTCTAACAATAAGAATAACCTCTAGGAAATAATATACTGGGTATAAAAAAATATTAAACTTGGATGGCTTATCGGTTATTAATTAGGTTAATTTAGACGGCGCCAAAAACATTGTTGAAGTAACTCTTAATTTACTATTATATTTCCTTAAAATATGCATCTTAGTAGGTAGGGAGTAAGCATCTAACTATTATGATTATACTAAGCCAATAAATAATACTTATATCCCCCTTTCCCCCAAAAGAAATTGTATTTTAACCAAATTATCATTGGAATAAAATGTTGATCAAGTTGGTTTTACAAATGTTATTTGTGACAGATTTATATACTGCCAATTTAAGTTCAATTTTCGTTCCTAACATGGTAAAATATTTTCGAAGCTAAGGAAAGGGATCGAAGGATTTCATTTACATTATAATTTTTTTTCTTCCTGCGCCAATTCAATATACATTACTTCATTAGCTGTAAACATTAATAAACCTTTAAATTATTTATTTTAATTAAATACTAGAGAAAATTTGTGAATAGAAGAATACGACCGACTACACAAAATACGCTAGTTTTCTCAACGCATAGATTTGCAAATGTTAATTGAAAATATCAATCTAAATCTAATTAAAACACTAACTTTTAATTAAAATAACCTTGATTTCTTTTTCCATGTTTTGTTTTTCGTAAATTCCAAAATCGAAACGAGCAATAGAATGGAATGGGAAAAAATTAGAAAATAGAGGATTTAGATGATTTTAATGAATAACTTATATTAAAATGGGTATAATAGTTGATAGATAGGACAAATAATAGTAATAATGGAGCAAGTATTTATTAAATTTATTTTTGTGAAAGGCAATCTTTATATCTCCATTTGTCTTAGTCTTTAAAGGAGATTTGAGCCTGACTACCAAATTCTCTTTTTTTATTTATACAAGTTTTGTTTGAAAGTTTAGGATTGGGAATCCCAAATTCAATCATTTAAATTTAAATGATTTTTCTTTGATACACAGAAATGGATTTCATTTTATCATGGGGAAGGGGGTGGGTGAATCCACTATCCTCCCCCATACCTACGCCACTTGATAGGATTAGAGTGTATGTCAATCAGAAGGAAGGAAGGGACAAAAAAAACAAATTAGCTAAAAAAAGGGTAATTTTAGATAATGTTACCTAAAAAAACATAATTTTGAAAATAATATTTTATATATTTTTTGAGCCCCCTGAGATTGTAAAAGCTAGTGACCCCCTTAAATTCGGCCAACGACAACATTATCTTTTGACTGAGGAAAGAAAATAAGATATCTAAATACCGAACCCAGATTGGGTATTAGGAACGATAGTAGTTTTATATCAAATTTTACGAAAAAATCATAATAGATATTTAAAATTGACCAATTCCAATTTCTTGTTGAAATAATTTATAAAATTTGCAACAATTTAAAATTCGAGTTCATGACAAGACTTGGAAATTTTTAGCAAAAACACCTGAGTAGATTCAAATATAATTTAAAATAGAATCGAAGGATTTCGCTCAACTGAAGATTTTGCATGTCGTTATTTTAGAAAAAATAAACTTAAATATATTTAGAGTTTGAATAGTATCTTTCTAAATTAAAAGCACCGCACTTAAAATTTTTTAATAAAAAGTATATATTTTTTTAAAAAATTAATATAATAAATATTCATTCAAAATATGATTCATATGAACTGAATTGATATTTTGTTTTAAAATATTCAAAGATACTAAATATCATCATCTTGTAAATAATAATTATCAATTACATAACAAATAACAACACTTTTATGTCCACAAACAAAAGATTGGTTTTTTATATTTTAAATAGGGAATTATATATATATTTTTATTTTATGCAAAGGTAAAAACCTATCATAAATATAGAAAAATCTTATTTCTTTTTCTTTTTGGTTATGCTAATTCAGTGAAGAAAATATTTTGAAAATAATATTTTCATGCTAATATTCATATTTTTTTTTATTCTTTGGACAAAACGGAATTATTCCATAGATGTATCGTCCGATCATCTTTTTTATAAGATAAATCCCGGTAATAAATTAATTTTTATATATTTATTTAATATATTAAATAAAATTGTCAATAATTCCTAATTTTGAAAAAGATGGGTTTTAAATTATATAATATATTTGAGCAATTTTAGGTTTGACTAAGTTTTATTTTTTTTATAGGAAGGTGTAAAAACTTAAAATTGGGATTAAATATCTAACAATTAACATTTGCGAATCGTGATAAAATTTTTCTTCTAAAAACGAAAATAGCAAAATCTCCCGCTCAAAAATATTTATATTTATATTATACAACAACAAATACAAAATTATTAGAAGAAATGAGGAGCCAAAATTTTTTAATGATCAAAATGTGCGCTCTGAGTCGCTAAATATTTTTTGGCCTGGCTAGGCCTGGTAGATCTCCTAATTTTTGTAATCGAAATTGGAGTATTTTTTTTTTGTAAACTGATAAGTAATTCTTACAAATTTTATATATAATTTTATATGCTCGAAAGAAATTTTTTTATCCCACCGTATATTTATTTTATAGTGATTCATAAAAATGTTATCTCCTTATTTTTTTCTCAAAGCCCTTTCAGCCGATTCAAATGTCTTCATCATCGGGGTTTATTTAAAATTTATAACAGCATTTTTAGTGCAGAAAATTATATTTAATAGAAATCCATATTTGATAAATTTGCAGATTATTTAGATACAAGTTATTGTCAAATTTTTTTTTTCAGTTAAATTTAAAATATTTTGTTTTTTATAAAAAGTATCCCTTCCCGCAGACATTTTACTGCCTACGTGCGTCGCCGATATAACAGGTGATGCGATTTTCAAGGCACGACAACTGCTTGTGGAAGAGTTTTTTGTCAGCTGTAACTAATTTGTTTCTCAAAAAATCATAGTTCTTATTAACAGAAGAAAATTGAATTTATATATGCATTTAAATTTAGTTAATAACTTTGATCACATATTTTCAATAGATTATTTTAATAGTTTTTTCTGTTTAAAATTAGACCTAAAATTTAAAAATATTCTGTCAAATATATATATTTTTTGAATTATTACAATAAATGAATTTGAATGAATTGTTCGTTATTTTGAAATATTATTTTGTAAATTGTCTGAATTAATTATGTTCAAAATGTATCACATATTTTAGTCAAACTCCCCTTCACTCCCCCCTCTTCCTCATTTCTTGGGGATTTTTTGTTGCCTGTTTCTGGAAAAAGGTCACTCGAACTTAAATTTTTTTAAACTTTTTGAAACATTTGCGGACGCGATTAAGGTTATCACTTAAAAGTTAATTTACAATATAAAAAAATTTTGCATTAATTTTTAGAAAATCTATGCCCAGGGTAATTATGTCCCTAGAATTTTTCTTTATCGGGATTCATTAATATGATAGAACCATTTTATTATTTCTAATGAGTCGTCAGTCTATCATTTCATGCATAGAAAATGGGAATTAATTTTTATTTTGATCAAATCTTTGTATCAAGAATATTATCTAATCATCTAAAATAAACTTCTTTATCATGTAAAATAAATTAGAAAAATGTGGGACTATCGATGAAAACTTCGAGATATCCGGAAGAGTGGCAATGGGAGACAACGCTCAATACGGAGATTTTCCTTGGGTTGTCAACCTAAGATTTTTGAGCCGTAATGGGTTGCTTCTATTCTGTTCTGGGAGCATCATAAATTCTTATTGGATTCTCACAGCTGCTCATTGTTTCGAGTATATATATATATATATATACATATAATAACTTGCATTATATTAATTGCGTTTTCATCATATTTCCTATAGTATAAATTATATATTCAAATATATTTATTTTTTAAAAAAAAACACGATATACACGAAGTTTACATTAACACAATTTCTAATGATAATATTTATCAATATGGCGTATGTGATTTAGCGTGCCTTTTATCAAGGATGAATTAATTAACGACATGAAAGAAAGTGCGGCGAAGGGAATGGAAAAATTTTACAGAAAATTCAGGGTTTACGTAGGAGACTATGTTACGTCTAGGCGCGATAAGAACGAAGTCATGCATCAAGTTTCTCAGATATTGCTGCATTCTAAATATTCGGTCCTTCGTGATAAGAACATTTCGTTGGATCGCATACCCGAGAGTATATAATAAATTAATAAAAAAATAATAATATTTATTTATGTAAATTATATTTATCGTATATTGGTAGACCTGTGCTGCGCCTCCAGCTCATGCTGCCACTGTCGGCAATTTTTGCGAATCGCCGTTTGAGTTAAACCGCACCAACAAGCTCGCCAACAACTTAATCTGGCGAAGGCGCGATGTTAAAATGCCTAAAAAAAATTTTTTTTAATAAAATACCCGACCGGGCCATGCTAATGGTACCTCTATTGGTCTCTGACAAATTATAACTGATTAAAGGAAATGAGAAAAAGCAGCACTATGATGAATGATTATATTTTATATATTAATTTTAATCTATTATCTAAATTAAACTTGATCCGAGATTTCAAAATATGACGATTATTTTGGATACACATTTTACGACACTATTTTCATTTTTAATTTAAGCATTTTGAAACTTATTGACGATGATCGAAATACAGAAAAAGGTTTTTATTTTAGCCGCCGTCATTGGATATCATTTGGTTATCTCAAATGGCCCACAGATCTTGATCACGAGATCTTTAATGTAATAATTATTTTTAACCGCTTTAGGTGTAAGAGAACCTTTGGTTAACAACGATATAGCCTTGGTCAAGGTTTCGCAAGTCATTAATTTTAATCGATACGTTAAGCCTATATGCGTATCCTTTAAAAATGACACCGGGATCGATGATGTATTCATAACTGAGAAGATTTGTCAAATCGCCGGTTGGGGTGGAACCTCTACCATGGGTGAGCTATATTACTTCCCTCGATTATTACTATTTAAAATAAGAATTTAGAAAGCAGGGGTTTGGAAACCAAATCATTAGAATTTCTATAAATTGAATACTGAATCCTTAATTTTATAGAACCAGAACAGGTTCCAAGAATTTTATTTTTCCAGGCCTTAGGCTGGGTTATAAAATATAATTTTTTTTAAAGCAGCTTTCCCTTCTTTTTTTGCTATCATAAAAATGTTTTTATTTGTTGATAACTTATTTGTATACATTTTGTTTGGGAGAGAAGGGTTTAGTGGAATTATATTTGCAAGTTTGAGATGATACATACAAAACAGAAAATTTCAGAAAAACCGTATCTCCCTGGTTATGTCTAAGTCTGAAGAAAGTATATTTTATAAAGAGATTGGACTCTGAGACTAGTTAAATCGAAAACGAATCCCGGAATAACTATCTAAATTTAGGGAAATAGACATTTTGTTTATCATAAAATTCATTCAATCGATATCAATTATTATTAGAAGAGATAACAGGAAATGTTAATTTAAAAGATTTATTTTTTTTATGCATAGAAAAAAGCGATGTATTGCAAGCGGCTTTCATTCCTTTTTTGTCACCTAGAATTTGTGAAAATACTTACAAAACGTTATTCGATAAAGTTCAGATGATTTGCGCTGGAGATGTTCATGAGGGGCCAGACGTGTGTGCTGGAGATAGTGGAGGACCTCTCTCGTGCTTAGATAATCGTATTCTATTTTAAACTTTTTTATTTTTAAAAGATTTTTTTTTTGGCAAATTTCAAAGTTAAGGCATATCAGCTTTGAATTTCCTGACCCTTACGACATATATATAGCAGTATCAAAATTAGTAAATATACTTAGTGTATGTCTATAGATTTTAATAACTATTTTAACGACACGTGCTATCAGGGACTTGTTTCAAATAAATCTAAGTTATGATGACCATTGACATTATTATTCCAATAAGTTTCTGTTAGTTTTATACAGAACTACGCGGTTTAGGCTAAGGCCAGATCCTATACTCACAGTGGTCCCTACAACTAGGGAGGGGGTCTGAACTGTTTCCAAAAATTTGAGTGGGGGTACTTTTATTGTTTTAAAAAAATTTTTTAAATTTAATTCTTTTGTTTAACTACATCCATCCATAACCAAGTGATTTCTGGTTTATGATATCTCTGCCAAGTATTTTTCCCCAAAATAGGATCAATTTTGTTTGAAATTTAAATAAAATGTACATTCGTTGTACTTCCAATTAATCTGATATAACCACAAAATTTACATGCTATACAATGTATTCCTCAAGATTGGGTAGATAGTGGCCTGATTATTGGTCCAATGAAATCATTGTGCATGTTACTGCGCTAAAAACGCAAAATTTTCTGAAAAGTTGGCAATAACTAAAAATTCTCCTACATTTAAATTGCATTTTAAAGAGTTTTGAAATATTAAAACTATAAACGATTGGGGAATTAAATTTTAATTTTTCGATTAAATAATTTACAACTTCATTGGCGGATCTTGTCAGCGTTTTGAGAGTAGTGCGATTCAACTGCCAATCATTGTTTAAATGTTATGTAATCTATTGAATTCGCTTAAAGTGGTTTTATTATTTTTGAAGATCCGAGGCAAATACTCTTTATTAAATAACATCCTGGCTGGGCTGGATATCCCACCCTCCTCTCAAATATTTTGTTAGTTTAAAAAAAAGTAAGGGCCTATCATTTAGACATAATAAACATTCATACATAACTATTCATTAAATTTAAATATGATATTTATGTTAAATTTTATCAATTCTATATAGAGGGTCATAACTCCTAGACTCATGTTTATCCTAGTCTAGGATTTTGTACAAATATAAAGCAGTGTGATATCTATCAGAAAAAAAAATTGCAAGAATACCTCTTATTTCCTATTTTATGCATCCGGGTTTAGATATTAATTAGATTTTGTATCACATATTAATTTATATGTCATATTAAATAACTATTAAGCTATTATAATAAAATTTATATTATTACTCTAACAATTATTTCTCGAGATATTTGAAAATAAATGAGGTGTATTTTATCAAAATTTACCATTTTTCCTGGTTTAAACACCCATATCTTATTGGATAAGCAGTGGAGAGGTAGAATTTCATTTTTTTTAATAGTATATACTACCAATTTAAAAAAATTATGAGGGGGTCGGGTTTAACCTTGGTTGATTTTATATGGAATTCACCACTGACAAAAAATATTTGTAATTAAAATGGTAAAACGAAAATCTCTTTAATCAATATAATATTGAAGGAACTTATCACACTTTAGGCTTTGCTTGTCCCCCTAGAATTCTTTCAATTATATTCTATTTAAATAAATTTATGTATATTATAGAATTGTATAAACTATAAATTATAACTAAAGAATCCAACAAAATATTTGGAATTATTAGTTGGGGTGGGCATTGTGAAATGGCAAAAAATCAGTCGCTTGGAGTTTACACGAGGGTATCTCAGTACACCGATTGGATCATAAGCTGCATGAATCAGTTCAGCCAGAGATATTGTTTGGATCCCTTAAAGTTTATGAATAAAAACTCAAATATAGGTGATTCCTTAATTGTCACCGATACCTTACCCAGTAATAATTTAACACCCCCACCGCCCACGCTAGTTGAAACATCAGAAACAATGATATCCGAGTCACCGTTATACGTTGCAACTCCGGATAATTCTATGGTAACTTATAAAGTATCTGAGCTTTATCTGAAAAACCCTAGGCAAATATTAAACCAAAGGAGGTGTTCTTGCGATTGGCAAATTATCGAAATGAGCGGCGATTCTAATCTACAGCAGCATAAATGTGTAAGTCGAAGGCAAAAGGACAAAATCTGGATAGATGCCAAGAGTTCCTGTCAATCCAGAGAGGCGCAATTGCTAACATTGAAATCGATAGAGGATATTTATTCTTTCGTGGAGAAGATTGATAAATCTCACTTTCCAGTTTGGTTGGGTTTATATTACGAAGGAAATGTTTTGAATAACAAACAAAATTTTCATTGGGTTGATGGGAGTCCAATCAGTGATGCCATATTGTAAGATAATTTTCAACATTATAAAAAAAAATACATCATTATACTATTCAATGTCTATAAAAATTTCAGTTCAATCATCGAAGCCGGGACAGAAAATGAAAGATGTTTTGTATTGACTGTTGCCAAAAACGCTCCCACAAACGTCAAATTTGTCATACAAGCAAAATCATGCCAGGATATTGTTCCATACATATGCCAAATTATAGGTGATATTTATTTCTTTCTATAAAATAAAATTTAAAATGAACTAATCTCTTATGGGTATAATTGAAAAATTTCGAGAGTTTGTTATGCAATGTTTTTGGAGAGTGACTTAAAGTAACAAAAAAAAATTCATAACTATATATCCTTATTATTTAGTTCATATTGAAAATATATAAATTAAAAGCGAAGACCTGCCAGCCCAGGTCACCCGGGTCTAGCCGTATTTTAGTTTTTACCCGGGTCGGGCCTTTCGGTCCGGGCTCCACAAATGGTCTGCAGGTCTCTGATTAAAAGTATGACCTTAAAAAATGTATATAATATATATATATATATAAATTTATCGAAAATATAAACCAAGAAAACCAAGGTTCTATAGAATTTGGTGATTTCTTAAAACCCAAAACTCTAAAATATTGCGGCTCATACACCAAACATTCGCTATCGTACACCAACCTATCCATCAGCAGCGATCGTTCCGTAATTTTGCAGAACGACGTTTTAATAGATTCTTTTTACGCTGTCATACCGCATTTGATTAATTGGAATTCCGCCTATTATTACGACATCTTGGAATTCGATTATGCCGGCGTCTCGGCACCCAATTTTCTTAATCAAACATTTTCCAGTTCTATATTAAAGGAGAATGACGGATCGGATCAACAATCCTTGCCATCAGAAAGTTATTTTCAATCTGGGGGACTCATTATTGATCCTGTATATGGAGAAAATTTTGTCTCCACTCAGACCATCAAATCGTTCGATAAGTCAGCTTCTATCATTAATTCTTTCCCCATATACGGAGGTCAGAACGGAGGTAAAACTCTTGTTTTATTCTCCACTAGTTCTTACCCATATCAAATAACGGATATCGATATTCATATGCCGTCTAAGCAATTATACGCTTGCAATAAGGCTAGTGGACAGATATTGGTTTACGATTATTTTGCCGATCAAGGTGAAGTTTTAGCCAAGTTCTCACATATATTTGGTCAAAAGAGGCAGTCCATTAATCGTGACACAAATCATCTTACGAAGCCTGCCAATACAGGTTTATTGAAATGAAATATTTTTATAACTAATTTTATATTTACCCTCAGTGTAATATTAATATTATTTACAATCTTTTTTTTTAATTTATAGAAGATACCTGTGATGAATTTGGTGCTTTTGCCTATCAAGACAATTGTATGATTCATATAATGCACGATAAGTTATACGTTATAGATCACTGCTCAGCCGAGTACCAATTTTCTAGACTTCAAGTTTACAATTCTCTTCAAAATACAGAATGTTCCAGGGATAAGTATGATAAAAACGTCATTTCGGCAAAATACGTAGATGACGGCCCTATAGGTTTACACGTGAGTAAAGACAGAGTATTTACATCTCCCGTTCAATCTACCTCATACTCGGCCACGATAAATACCGTTTACATTTTGTATTGGAGCCAAATTCATGTATACGATCATGTGACCAAACACAGCTCGCAGAATAATTTAGTCCTCGAGACTCTATTCCAGCTTGTCACCAAATACTCTAACCCCACATTGCATTTTGGACACCACGGGTTGACCATTTGGAATAACAATTTATTAGCCGTTTATAACAATGTTCGCGATCAAAGAAAAATCCTCGTTTTCGACTTGTTATCATCGTGAATTTGTAATGATTGTTTTTCTGAACCGGGTCTACTTTAATACTATTTTTTATAGATGTCGACATTTTAAAAAAAAACACTTCTAGCAATTTGTGTTTACGAAAACGATAAATAATATTCACAAATGGTAGCCTTCATATTGTTGTATTATCAGGATCTAGTCGAGCCCATAAATTTAATTTCTTTTTATTTTATTAAGGTCAATCTCATTATATTATCAATGTTCAAAAAAAAATAATTATACATGTAAACTTTACAAGCGATTACTTGAAAAGTTGAAAATAATATTCTTATATATATATATAACTTATCAGACTTTATAAGTCTGCTTAAGCTAAAATTCTAACAATATTGTGACAATCAGCTGATCTCTCTAAATTCCTATTGAATCCGGATTCAGCCAGTTTGAGCTTTAAAAATAATTAATATTTAGTTTTGTTTAGTGTTGTTAAACGGCTCAATTTAAATTTAGATTTTACCCAATATTATACAAGCCCTTGAGATTTCGTTAATGAATGCCCGAACCTTTCTGATGAGCAAAATCTACAGGCATGGGTAATATTATTAAGGATAAGATATTAGGTTAGCCGTTAAAAATCGAGTCGTTTAATAACTATACTCGTTTTGTTAGACTTCTTTATTTTAAAATTGTACGTTTGAGATTAGAATATTCTCCTCGGGGATTAAGATAAGCTCGTATCTTTAAAAACAGCTGATCCAATATTTTCGCTAAATAAAAATTACGCAAACTTCTAGATTTTATTAATAGATGCCCAAACCATTCTGCTATGAGCAAAAAAAATTTCAAGGCTTACGCAATATTCAAGGTTAGAATATAGGATTAACCGTTTTGAAAATACGCGCCGTTTAACAACACTAAGAATGAGCAATTAGTAATTTATTATACAGTCTTAATTTTTTTTTTCAGGCGGTGTCTGGCTCGGGTTTTCAAGCAAATATCTATTTAAACCGAGTCCACGCTCTAAAAAAAAATTACATCGTAATCAGGGCAAAGAAGATTTATTTTTAAGGCTTCTGGAATGAACTTAATTTAGATATCTGAAAAAAAACAACACTTTCAGACAAATAAATACTATGAGTAAAAAGATATTGTAATTATATAAATACCAATCCGTCTAATCTAACCCCCTAATCATCTCATTAGAAGAAAATCACAACAGGCATTAAGCATATACTTTAAGCCATATTTTCATATTTGTACCCCTAAATTATGCATTTTTTTACCTATGGGAATCTTCGCGCCTATATATTCAACATTGGTGTCGTTATAAAAGGACCCATTTGTGTTCATTTTTAAAAACGGCTCGATTAAGATTTTAGCCAAAATAATATTATGTAAAACCTCATTATTTAGGCAAATACGAATCCAAACATTTCTGCCACATATCTGCAAAATCTCTAGGCCTACCAATGACGTATATAATATCTAAACTGACGATTCATTCATTAAAATGCATTTTTAAGCGTCGTTAAAAGCAAATCAGCTGGACCCGCCATTTTGGTAACACATATAGTAATTATTCTCATGTTAAAAACTAACTATTAAATTGATAACTTGCTTCCTTATTATCTCGATGATCCGGTAATTCTTTAATAAAGTTTTCATCAGATATATGAATAAATTAGGCTCTCGTTTAAAATTTTAATAATGATTAGTGTAACCAAGATGGCGTCTCCAGCTGATTTGCATTGATGTACACTTTTAATGAATGAATCGTCTCAGTCTAGGTATCATATATGTCATTTGAGTAGTACATAATATTATTAAAATTTTAATCGGGACGTTTGTGAAATACAACACTTATTTTCTACTAAAAAGAGGATATTTATTTTTTTAAAGTCTTATGAGCATTATTCTAAAATAAAACGTAAAACATTAGTCTAAAAAAGTAACCCGATCTCATTATATCTTTTTTATAATATTTTATTACCCGATTATTTGATTATTATCTTAAAATAATATTTTTCTTAAAAAAAAGAAAATTTCTCTTTCTAAGCTATTAATAAAATTGGACTAGTTTCCAGTTATCCATTTCTCCAGGATATATTTTTCCCGACTTAAAAGATTGCTAATACCATGGGATATAGATAGTAGTGTTGTAAAAAAAAAGCCCGATGATTTGGGTCGATTTTTCAAAACGGTCCTATTAAGATTTTAGTTAAAATAATATTATGTAAAGCATTGAGATTTGGCTAATAAGATGTCCAAGCATTTCGGCTAGCTCTATGTGCAAAATTTTTAGGCTTAAGTAAGGTTATTTTTTGGTTATAATCTTAAATCAGACCTTTTTAACAACACTAATTAGATAGAATGATATTAACATTAAATATAAGACCATTTTTAAGTTGCATTTATAAAATATATCAAACCCTAAAAAGTATGTTAATTTTAAATATCGCGCGGATAGAGAATTAATCTTAATCATATTATAAAAAAATTGCCATAGTGCCTGAGGTCTGGTCGGTTGAATACGTGCAACTCAATCCGATAGTTTTAGGTTCGAATCCAGCAGGAACCACGTTTTTTCTAAGGCCAACTAAGTGGTTCCTTCTTATGGGGGAAGGGGGGGATTGTTATTTAGAATATCGGAAACAAAAGCATGATTAAATATATTTTAAGAAATGGGTCCTATTGAATTTTTTTTAATTGGTAGTTGTATAGGTAAGTTGCGTTATGCTGAATATGCAATAACTATCATAAACTAAAAATTATAATATATTTGTCTGCCGCTAAAAAAAAAGTCAATTTTTATATTTTGTAAATTTAGATTTGAACCAATTATTTTGAAAACCTTTTTTAAGACTTAATAATAATTCAAAATTATGTGTAAATAAAGGATATCGACAATGACAAGACAACCACGATATTATAATACAAAACAGAATATATTAATAATATTATAATACAATAATATAGTAGCAAATAATATAATAATATTATCCTTGAGATTTAATAAAGTTATTATGTAAAAGCCAAAAAAAAAATTTTTCTCATTTTTTTTAAATATACCACCCCACCTTAATTATGTTATGTTATTATCTTTACAATATCATAAGCGAAATATATCATGAAAATTACAATTTTATATACTCTAAAACCAGTTCGATGACATGACATGTTATAAGGGTTTCAGTGACATACTTTAATAGATTAACGAATAATCAATGGTTCGAATTATTTCAACAAAATTCCTCAAAAGAATTGTCAAAAATGGGATTAAAAATTTTGGTTTACTACTTCTAGCTCCTCAATATTGACCGCGTTAAAAATTATATATTAAAATATAAAATAATTAACAAAAATTCGTATTTATAAAGATTGCACAATATTAAATACTTATATCATATTACGTATATATTATATATGATATATTAAATTTAATGGTCTTGACCAGTACTCTAGGCAAAATAAAATTTTCTACTCGTATATTCAAATTATACAGGTTTAAAAAAAAATACTTCTAATCTATTATTATACTAATAAGGCGATTAGCGGTGTGTGCAACGGGCCGGTTTCAGCAAATCCGCCCAATCGTTGCTTTAATTTTTTTAAATCTATTCGCCCGTCGGTTTATTTATCCAAAAATGATGTTTTAGCCGCCGGCTACATGTTTGATAATTGTTTCAGTAATTATAAACTCCATTTAGCAGAAATTTTGACAACAGGAGGTTAATCGAAACCGATTTTCTAAGAGAGGTCCGAACCCGTCCCGGACTCGTTTTTGTACACACAACGGTCTCTGTTTGGTCTGTAGTATCAAAATGCATAACCAAACAATTTTAAATTTCTGAACCCGGGTTGATATTTACTCTACGAGCAGTATTAATGAAATATAAATGGATGATTGTTCTGCATTCTCCCGAAAAATAATTAAAAATTCAGTCCCCTAGCCGGTCTATTGTTTTAAATATATTTTTTAACTCGTCTAGTAAAGCGCCCAACGTTCACATCTTTGGTGAGGGGTTGGACTAAACTCCTGCCCTTTGCTTAACCTCTAATGTCGATATATGCTATTATAATAAATTATGTTTTTAAAAAATATAATATATAACGGAAGATGACTATTTTTAAATATATAAATCATATTATACTTAAAAATATTTATTGTCATATATTATAAGCTTTAGACCCTAATTTTTATAACATATTTAAGTTTTATGAATGAAACAAAACAAAACCATAATGATTATAAATATCATTTTCGATTCGAGATTATAAATCACTTATTATCGATTTATTTTTAGGGAAACTTTAATAGTTTTTGATTTCACTCCGTTTATGTTGAGAGAAGAATGGTTTAATTTGTTTTGTTTTTTAAATAAAAGGCAAATTGTTATAATTTAATAGTTATATATAAATATAAAATGAAGTATGTTTTCGATTTAATAACTTTTTTTGTAACATCAAATTAGAGGTCTGCAAATGAAAAAAAAATAATTCAGAATTGTTCACAGAATACTTTAAAATATTTAAATTTGATCTGCTAAATAGATGGGAGGGGGTAGGATATTATTTCATTTTCGTTTGCATTATAATTATCAATTTTTAAATAAATATGCTATACGTAACTTAAAATGGTGTCCACAGCTGTTTTATACTGGTGAGCACTTTTAATGAATGCATCATCAGTCTAGGTATTCATGTGAGTCATTGATCCAATTGCGACATAATATGTCTTTAAACTTAATTTCGAAAAAAAAAATTTATTTGTAAAAATAGGTGTTGCACACTTTAAAAAAGACAAAAGTGCAAACAAGATAAAAGTGATTGGCATTCGGTATTATAGGGAAAGGTGCTTAGAGATATTAGGAAGTGTTTCAAAAAAAAACTCTTGCAATTATCTCTTAGAATTTTTGAATTGTTGGTTAATAAATTATTTAAAAGGGAATAAAGAAATGATAATTAAAGAAATTAAAGCAGAAGTTATAAATTAAATGATAAATAATAATTGTTATTCATAAATATTTTATCACTTTTTTTTTTGATTTGATTGAAATAAATTTAACCCTTCAATTGCGCAGGCGGGAATAATGCAGATCCTAGTCATTTTAAAAACCTTATTATACATAAAATTGTTTCGATATTTTTGCCTGAAATCTTTTAGTAGCCTAACATCTATAGATAAAAGTGTATGTATGCAGAATTAATTTTGAAATTTTTCAGTAGTTCAAGAGTTATAACGGTCCTTTGGAGCTTGGGGTCATATATACCCCACCTATTCACCCGTGTAACTTTTTAAAATCTGTTTTGGCATATATTTCGCATTAAATAAACGCTTTTTTGTATATATCATTTTTATTAAAGTTATATTATATTAATATTTGAACCTTAGTTAGATACATTCGACATCATCAATTTTATTTATACATTTTTTTTATATCACATTGTGACATTTTTAAAATAATTTGTCAGTGACTCCCTTGACATAAGCTGTTATATAATGATAAAATAAGATTAAATTGTTAAAATCATTAACTTATAGTTTATTTAAGATATTTATTAATATATGAAAGCTACAAATTGATTTGATCTTAATATACAATGCTTCTAAATTGGGGTCTTAGGGTACCCCACCAATTCTCTTGCATGATATTTTCTTCAACTGTACACTGAAGAGTTAAATTCATCACTCATTCACATCCTTCATTATAATAGGAATTTATACTAATTTTTTTTTATCCAAATTATAAAACTAATTGATTAAAAATGCTTAACCAACTATTGAGATAAATTTTATTTTTCGTACAAATATTTATGGGTGGCTATTAGGTCATCTAATCTATTTTCAAAACATTCCAGGCTGAATGATGAGCTAAAAGCCATAATAGACAATCGAAAAGAAATTGGCAAGCGAATAATTTTTATTACTGTACGGGATGGTGGGTTAAATAATTTTGAAACAATAAGCGGCCAGGTAGTGTTGTTAACGGCAGATTTTAACCGATTTTTTAAAAAGGGCTAACTCAATATTTTAGCCAGAAAGCCTGAAGATTTTTCTCATAAATGTGACACAAAGGTTTTGGATATCTAATTAACGAAATCTCGATGGTTAGCCAATATTTTTCTGGCTAAAATATTGAGTTGGCCGTTTTTAAAAATCGGCTAAAATCGAGTCGTTTTGACAAAACTATGGGCAAACCGTTGGCGAGCCGGCGGGTTGGTGTTTACAAAAATGGGAGGGGTGTGGACCTGTTCAGGCCTATTGCATGCTAAGATGTTAAACGGATTTTTTTTAACCCGAGTTAAGAAGCCTTTATTGCTAAAACACTCTACATTTCTCGGAATCTGAGGCGCTCCCAAAGTTACACATATTATTTTCTTTAATTTAAAATCTGAATAATGGAACTGTAATCCTCTGTGCACGGAAAATGCTGAATAGTTGAAAATATATAATATTTAACACGATTAAAAATCTATTACCTTATCGCGAGGACATAAAAATAACCCCCTCACTACGCGAATGGCTTAATAAACCAAGCTTCTAGAGAGCTCTCCTAGATACTTTTTACGTCAAGTAATGTCTCAATTAGTGTTGATAAACGTCTCGATTTGAGCTGATTTTTAAAAAAGGCTAACTCAATATTTTAGCCAGAAAAATATTAATGCAAGACTGAAGATTTTGGTCATAGATAGCACAAAGGTTTTACATCTATCAGCGAAGTCTCGAGGTTTAGGCCAATATTTTTCTGCCTAAAATATTGAGTTAGCCGTTTTTTAAAATCGACTCAAATCGAGCCGTTTAACAATACTAGCGTTCACTTGACTTTATCGTTTATTTCTTTCATATTTTATTTTATTTTCTTGAATAATAAAGTAATAATTTCATTGATCTTTAATTTTACACATTATATTTATCGTTACGCTTAAGTGTAATAAAAATAATATTTTCTTGGTTCAATGGGTAGACGAAAATAAATATTTTTAAAATAAAAATATCGTTTTTCATTTTTTTTACGTCTGAAACTTTTGTGAATAATATTTATAATTTAAAAAAAAATATTTCAGATTTGAAGCGTTTAAAAAAAAGATGAATAATTTTTTTTAAAAAATATTCTAAGGATTTAACTTGTACATTTAGTCCAACCCTAGGTCTAAAACAGTAAACGTATAATTCGTATTAAATGCTAAATATCGAGGAGGGTTCTTTAGGAAGGAGATGGTTTCGAATCTAAACAAAAATGTTGAAATTAGGAAGAAATCACGGGTAAAAGTATTACAGACAAAAATGCCAGAACTTTAAAAAATTTATTTAATCCAAATTGGTGGTTAGGGCTAAGACAGATAACTTATAATTTTTAAATGCTTAAACATCAAGATAAGAGTGTTCTAAGGAAATAGTTTCGAATCTAAACAAAAATGTTAAAATTAGGATGAAATCATGGACAAAAATACCGCAAATAAAAATACCCGAACTTTAAAAATAGGTTTAATCCAAATCGGGATATTTCTATCCATTGTTTTTTTTTGTCTGTGGTACTTTTGCCTGGATCTTATTGTACTGGACATTTCTATCTGTGATTTAAATCAGTATTTAGTCGCTAATTCGATTCCAGCTACATGTGTTGCACTTTTTCACAAAAGACACATTAAGGAATATTTCAATTTTAGTTTTTATAGAATAAGTTAATTACTTTTTAAAATAACGACTATAATTCAATAATTCAAAATTTTTTTAAAAAAAGGCATTTTTTAATTAAAATAAAAAAGAAATGAGAATCAAAAATTATTTTTATAAAAAATTAAATATACCTAAATGCTTACAATTTGACCTTAAGATATCCAATAAAAATTATGGGAAAAACCCACCTATTAGTGCTTCCCACTCCCCTTAGTAAAATCTTAGATACGCCTATGTACCTCCAAGAAATGCTATGGAAGCATTTTAATACTTTAAACTATATTTTGGAGTTATTTTTCCAAATATAATAAATTCACTCTATATATTGGCAGTAATACTAATTAGTACATGCACAAATAATGGGATCTTTCTTCATTACGGTAAATAAGAACCTACCTCAAAAGGTACGATATCTTAAAATCGATTGTATGGCCTAGGGTTACTTAATATACTAGATTTAATTCCCATTCAAACAAATTAAAATTTTCATGCCATTAATAAGTTTCTTAAATCATCATATAATGTGTTTTACTTCTATATTCTACTGTTACCTGTTATATTTTTTTCAGGGACCACTATTTCCTTAACATTTTAGCAATACAGTTTGAATGTATAATTTACTTATTATCAAGTTGATAGGGTGTCATACATATAAAGTTAAAAATAAGAGTTTAATTATTATAGGAGGAAAGGAATCAATATTGGTGGTTTAAAAAATTTTATTTTTTCAATATTTTATTTTATTTGTGTCCTAAATTGTCATTTTTTAATATGAATGGTTATAATAAATTTTATTTGATCACTATAATAAATTTTTAATAACATGATCAAATCAATAATCAACATCTTTTTCGTAGTTAAACTCATACATACTATTATTATTTTTATCCTTCTCATAATAAAAAAATATATATAATTTTTCTAAACAAAATAATATCATTTTATTTTTTTAAATTATATATATAAAAATTTTTTTATAAATGATATTAGATTATTTCATAATTTAGTAAATAAATCATTTTATTTAAAACGATTTTTAAAGAATAGAAAAGGCTTTAAAAACTGTGAAAAGATTTTCCCAATTCTTGATCAATAATGGATTCAGATATTCAAGAACAAAGTAAAAAAATAAAGAAAGATATTTTTGTTTATAAAGGCTTTCAATTTTTAAGAGTCTCCTGTTTAGCGTTGTTAAACGGTTAACTCATTAAAAAAATTTTTTGCTAGATGTTACAACAAAGGGTTTTGTAAGGTATATTAGCGAAAACTAGAGGCTTATTTTCTGGTTATAATATTTAGTTAGCCGTTTTGAAAATATAGGCTCAAGTGCCCAGCTGATTATTGAAAAATTGGTATATACACATTCTTAAAAAGCTCTTATTTATATTGATTTTGATTTGAATTATCATTCGTTAAACCCATCTTTTTATTTTCAGGGAAAGGATGATCTAGTATAATAATTTTAATAAAATATGATTAATTTTTTTTGAAAAATATATTTTCGTCTGCTAAGGTGTGTTGTGTATTATAGTTGTTGTACTTTGTACCCCAAAGAATTTATCATTGTTATTACAAATTAAATTTAAAATTGTTTCTTCTGTAACTATATTCCAAATTATATATCTGCAAAGTTTAAATGTATTTTTTTTTGTATAGTTTTTTGATTTTTTTTTTAAAGTTATAGGACTTTTTTGGAGACTTATTATAACCAAGGGATAAGGGTTCAGTGTTTGATGAACATAAAGAAATATATTACCATAGATTATTACCTACACTTAGTGTTGTTTGAACGGCTCGTTACGATTTTATTAAAAATGGCTAACTCGATATTTTATCCAGAAAAATATCAAGCAAGCCTTTGTTCATCACCAAGGTCTAAGACATTAGTGTAATTTTGAGGTTTAGGCAATATTATATTTTCTGGCTAAAGTATTGACGTTAGCCATTTTTAAAAATCGGCTCAAAACAAGCCGTTTAACAACACTACCTACACTACTCTAAACAGGCGAGGGAAAACCATTAGGCGGGGTTTTTCCCATAAACATTATTGGAGATTGTTTAGGTCCACTTATTATTGATATGTATATTATATATGTTAGAGGCCATGTGTTTTTTTCCGGCTCTGTATGATTTTTTCAACTTTAGATCAATTTTTTGAGTGCGGTTTTATAACTTTGCAATGAAATTTTGAACTTAATATAATTTATAATAGTTTTTTCCCCCATAGATTTTTTATACATTTCCGGTCAAAATCAGATTTTTCAAATTTTTAAAAAAATCTCACAGCTGATAATATAAAATTGAGAGATTCCAATGAATCCTATACCCAAAAGAATTTATTTATTTTTTCTTGCCTCACCAATCAAGGGATTAAGAAAAAAAATATATAATTTTTATATTAATATAAATGATGGTGTTAAATTAAGCTTTTCATTTCTTTATTCTAATCATTTTTTCGTCTTCTCAATACATGAATTCATTGGTCCACAAGAAGGAGCAAGAGATGTTGTTCTCAAATCTACCTATCCTTCGAAAAATTATTATACGTAAATTGGATTATATTTATTTTGTAATTTTTTTAAAAATATTTGGGCGCATTGTCCCATCTCCTAAGATTGCAATTAAGAGTATTTTACACTTTACTTTAAAAAAAAATTATTTAAATACTATATCGAAATTTTGGTATTTTTTTTATAAATTATAAATTAAAAATGACTAAAAAGGTTATCGGCAAAAATTGTCTACAATTCATAAGATAAAGAATATTATTCCGGTAAAGTCCATTTTAAAATTTTTTAAAAAAAAACGTGCTTCAAAAAATGATTTTTTTCAATTAGTAAAAAAAATAACACATTGCCTGAAAAATACACATTGATTATCCTTGATATTTTTTTAGTTTCATATGAATAAAATTGAAAACTATTTCAAAAAAAGTCAAAATGTAAATGAGTCAATTAGATTTTCCCAAAAATTATTCCCTTGATCACACAATTTAGATCACAGTAGAGTATGATAAATTTCTTAAAATTCCAACTACTTATACAAGCGTCATCGTTAGGGTTAGGGTATGTTTATATGAAATATAACCCTGCATTCACAGTTAGTGCGAATTTTCGCGGCGATATTTTGCTTTCTAGTAATATAATTCGCAAATACAATTAATTTTTCTGCTCTCAATTAGATAATTTTTCAGAGCATTGAGCTGTAGAGATTCTAGCTTTAACGCAAATTACCTTTTATAGATGCACGTAAAACCTAAGAATATTAATAACGAGGAAATTAAAATTTACACCCATCCACGCACAAACAAATACAAAATATTTAAGAATCCACACCGATTCACTGAAGGCCTATTATTTAACTCACGCCATTAATCGCTTACTAATAATCTTTCCTAAATAATAGCTGGACACCGCTCTTTATAAAGTGGGGGTTATAATTTTCATATTAGAAATATATTAGCGGGATTGTCCCATGTTTTTATATCTTTAAAAGGTTTAATTATTTCATTTCTTAAACCACCCTCTTATGATTACTTAATTTACAGAGATCCGCAGGCTCTGCTCGGGTACAAGGGTAGGGTTAATTTCAATTTTTTTAAAATATACACGGGTCGGGCCTAATACCCGGGCCTTATATTTGAAAACTGGATATTTTGAATCGCCATTTAAGCTGTAAAAATTAAAAATAAATGTTTAAACACGAAAATTTTGCCTAAAAATGCTACTGAATTAAAATGCGTATTTATTCCGAAATAGTTTAGGAAGAAAGGTAGGGAGGGAGTATAGGATAATTGCTTTATTTTTCATCCATCTAAAAAACAGCTGAACTTAGTTTTAGGTCGAGAATTATTACCTCATTTTCTGTTTGTTTAAAGAAGGGTGGATGATCGCTCTATTATTTAGCTGGTTGACTCGGCTAAAAATGGAGGCATTATTTTTATTCATCTTAATTAAATTTCTAGAGTTACTAGGAAGTTAATGTAATCGAATCTAACATAATCTGTACCTAGATTCTTTTTTTTCTATTTAGGAGGTATATATGTATGAACAAATGATATTTATTTCTCTGAAGTTATTAAACGCAGCAAATGGTATGGAATCAATTTAAAAGAAGAGATCAGACTTTAGGAATTATCACTTTCATCTCTTGTTCAAATGAAAATTTTACCAATATCCCTAATAAACTAAATGGCTCGTTGTTTCATATTTATTAATATCACTTCATATTCTTATGAAATAAACATGATGATAATTGGTGTACCCTTAAAAAAAAGGATATAAATTGAAAGCCAAAAGTCAGATCAATTATAAATAATTTAGTTGCAAAATAAGGAACCATTAATTACAAAATTATTTTTTTTTAAAAAAATTACGATTTCGCAATGAAAAGAAAAATACGTAAAAGTCAATTGACCTTATAATATGTATATATATTTTTTTATCAATAAAAGAAGTTTTGTGATTTTATTTAATAAATTTACAATTTGCACGATATAATTAAATTGATGTTCATTTAGGAAAAACCAATGTGAATAATTGAAAATGGAAAAATAAGAACTAATGACTAAAGTTCATAATTAAATCCTATAGATCAAAAATTAAAAGTTTAGTTTATTTTATATATATTTATTTTCTATATCTCCATTGTAGTCAACAATTTAAAGTAGATTTTTAAGGTAAGAAGCAACCACCCCTCTTCCATTCCCCACTTCATTAATAAATTTTGGCGGGGAATAGAGTCGATTTTTTGACCGGCAAATGGCTAGGTTCTTTTATCTTTTACCTTATTAATGATCATTCATAATATATAATTATTTTAGATGTTTTTTTCCTTCTTAAAATTTAAGTAATTAAAAGTTTTTGATTTGTATACTTTTATTTCTAATCTTAACCTTCATTTTATCCATTTTTTGGCGAGTAGGGAGAAAGGGCTAGAGAGTAGTATCAATTTTCATTGGCTTAAAATGATATTCTAGAAGACTTAACAACCCCCCACCCCTCACCCCCGCACACTTTAGGTCTATAATTGGAAAAGAAAGCCTCAGGGGGTAAAAAATTAGGAAAATTAGGCCCAGGAAATAAAATACCCTTTTATAGATTTACATTGTTTATACGATTTATATTTTAAAAAAGCTATTAACTAGTATAAAATTCCCTATAATAAAGGTGGCGAAATCAATACAATACATATTATATAACAGAATAATTAAAGTCAATTCAAAAAAAAAGGTACAAAATGTTATTTGAGTGTCTTAGAGTTGGACCATGTCAGATGTTCAAAATTTATCTTTCATACAAAAGTCGGGTCATCCTTAAAACTAATTTAGTTAATGGCGGATCACTATATTACCATGAATCCCTATATCCGTTAGATAAAAAAATGAAGTTACTGAACGTCAAATATATTGACAGTTTTAAAAATAAATTCTAAGGATTTACACTTATCGATTTGCAGGGCTTTAACTTAAAGCCAATAATTTAGAGCTTAGCCTGATTTTTTCAATATTTGGATATTACTATGCTTCTGGTAATCTGGGAGAGACGCAATTCAGCGATTTAAAATTTTACCCAAAAATTGAAAGGTATATGCACTCACAATATCTTAGGATGACATGACAAATAACGAACAATGTTAGGAAAATAAACCTTCCATATGGTTATGATACGCTGTTAATTAACCGAATTAAGTTTATTTCTTTTAAAACTAAAAGTAAAAAAATATCTAAAATCAAAACAATAAAATTCAAAAATTTAAATAATCAATTAATTATTACATAACATTTGTCTCCAATTGAACTGGCATAAACTTGAATCTCTTTGAAAGCGCCTTCAATCAAGCTCCAATGGATATCGCTCTCATTCAAAATACATTGAATTGTTTAACTGGCTGATTCATCGGTATACCTAAGTTGTGCCGTTCTTTCTGTTTGTCAATTTGGACAATATTTTCTATCATTTTTCCTCTCTTATTATCAAATGGTCATCACGAACTATTGTTTTTCCTTCTGATTTCATAATGCAAAGGTTCTAACACTTATAACCCCCCCCCCCCACCTATTTCTTATTTAATTTCTTTGCAAAATATCACTTCTCTACCATATTTTTCTGCTCTAACGTA